TCTATTCACGCTGACTGCGGTGTGGAAGACGTAGGAACCAAGTTCTGTCCAGTTTTTTTTCTTTTTATTGGCTTTGTGTTGCTGCCTGCTTCCTCTCCCTCTTTAAGGTCATCTCAGTTATTTAAGGTCATCTCAGTTATCCTCGGAGAATACGCATAGGCAGGAGCGCACTGTTGCCTCCGTGCCCACATACGTATTTGCATCCACTCCACAATGATAGGAAATCCAATTGAAAGCCTGACCATTGCACAGATGAAGGAGGAGCTGCGAATGCTCTACGGCGTCAGAGACGTATCGGACGTTGTGGAATTGAAGGATCTACAGGCCAAGCTTCTCTCAACACGCAACACGCAGCTCATCACGCATGGTCTGCGATACGGACCACTGATGCAGGTTGGCAACCAGAAGAACCCAACCGGTGTTGTGACGCTCTCGCATGGATTGGGTGATTCGGCGCAAGGCTGGGAAAGTGTCGCGCGTGAACTCGCGGGTTTCCTGCCGCATCTTCTGTTTCTTCTTCCCACAGCTCCGGTTCGGCCAGTGACCATCAACGGCGGCATGTCGATGAATGCATGGTACGACATAAAGGACCTCGGTGCCGCATTGGAAAAATCGCGTCAAGATGGGGAGACAGTGATGATCTCCGCTGACTACCTCAAGAGTCTGGCGTACACCGCGACGCAGCGCTACCGCATTCCGAGCAATCGCGTCGTGTATGCGGGTTTCTCGCAGGGCGCCGCCATCTCTCTCGCGGCAGGGATCACTTCACGCATTGCACCGGCTGGTGTGGCGGTGCTTTCTGGTTACCTTGCGGGCGGCAGCGCGGTAATGAATCGTCTGTGCAACAAAGGTGTTCCTATTCTCATGTGTCACGGTTTACAGGACGACGTTGTGCCCTTTGAAGCTGCACGGATGACAAAGAAGGAGCTGGAGTCGGTTGGTGTAAGATCAATCACGCTGAAGTCGTACTTGATGGCGCACTCTGCACACCCTGACGAGATCCAAGACCTTGCGAGTTTTTTGAAACGTGTCTTGCCGGCGACTACGTCTGGAGAATGAGAAAACTAAAGCAGGAGGAGAGATGTGATGGACCCGGTAAAATAGGAAGATATTTGGGCTGAGGGGGAGTAACATAATGTCAGTGGAATATGCTTGAATAAGAACAATAAAAAGCAACAACAACATGGAGGTGAAGGAGTTTATTGGGACATGAATGGATGGATTGCTTGTGTGATGCCACAAGCTGAACCAAATGTCCAATAATCTAATCTTTTTCCTACCGTCCTGTGGGAATGGCAGGGGGGGTAGGGGTCGCATTATCCACGCCTACCCCCAGCATAGGATACAGGAAAGACGCATATTTAGCCTTCCATACTGGGAAGATTTCAAGCTTGACAAGGTGGAGACAGGAAGTAGTAGCAACGAAGGCCGATGCTTCAGTGCTCCTCTGTGCGGTGGGTAGGTCTCTTTTTGCCTATCTGCTCTCCGCTGCACAGCGGCTACAAATACTTTGAGGACATGTTTCACAAGCATGAGGCCGCCCCACGCCATGCGACGTGTGAGGAGCAGGCCCTTGGTGCCACAACCAAGTGTCTTGAGCCAAAAAAAAAGTAGTTAACGGAGTCAGAAAAGCTGCACAAGCTGCATGAATGGAAGAAGAATGAGGATGGTCTCACCCCACCTCCGTAGTTTGGGTGACCCGAGGAGTGGGACCCTGAACCGGGGGAGGAGGGGCACAGTGAGTGGTACCTGAAGAACCGCATGCACATGTTGTATGAGGAGAAGTCAAAGTATGACCTCCGCATTGATGTACCCGTCAAAAAGAACTCAATGCGGCACCAGGATATGCCGTACCACAAGCGCATGAAGGCTGCCTATCATAATTTGCAGGAGGAGAAGCCGCAGTGGTTTGACCTAAGGCAACACAAGTACTGGGCAAGCTACTCCTACGAGGACAAGCGGGACTCTGTTGCAAAGTCGCATGATGACTACTTGTAGGAGTGGTTGGGGAAGCTGGATGCCATGCATGAAAATGTGGCAAAAAGAATAGGGGAATACAATGGCACGGCAAAACATAAGAATGTGAAGCCGGTGCAGCGACGCCCTGAGTGGAAGCTGGCGCCCAGACAAGGAAATGACTAGCGCGTTGCTGTGCCTTTATGGTGTTTTCTGCTTCTCTGTTGGCATGCCTATGCGTGTTAGTGTGCCTGTGTATTACTTTGCCGAAGGAACCGTCACACTTAGGCATCATCGTCGACAAGTACAGCGGTAGCTCCTACATTTTGTAACCACATTTCTGGGTGTGCAGCCGTTGGGTGGATTCACTAGACATGCATATATACATGCATATATGCATATTACACACGGCAAGCGGCTTCATTGAGTAATTATTTATTATTCTTCTTTTTCTTTCTCTTGGTTTGTGGTTGTTGAGGTGGAGGATATTTGTGTTGCAAAATTCAAAGAAAGGAACGAGCGTACAGTAAAGTCAAAAAAAAAAAACAAGCGTAGATGCTGCGTCATATTTCTTTTTCCAAAGGTCTAACGACGTGCGGCGCCTTGCGTGCTGCAGAAATGGTAAGCCGTCAGACACACCTTTGCTCGCTACTCCGCTATCAAAGTACAGCATCAGCAGCAGCAGCAAAGCCTTTACTGAAGAAGAAGATTCACACGCTCAGTACAAACAAGTCCGATGCTTCTGCCTACGTGGGGGCTGATGATATTGGTGACTTCTCCTCATTACGACACACAGGTTACCTGCTGCTTCATGGGCGCCGTATGTGGGTGCCAATGCTTATGGCCGCTGTGTGCTATGCCGCGGCTCCGCTTTCAGCTGCCTCCTGGGCCACACAGGGCCTCTACTGGAGCCTCTGCGTGATGCTGCAACGCCTTAGTGTCCGAGGAAGGATGAACCACGCCTCCAAGGACCTCACTGGATACATCTGCGTTGTGACAGGTGGCACTAGTGGGATTGGCCTATACACTGCAATGCAGTTGCTTGATATGGGTGCGCACGTTGTGATGGCGGCGCGGCCGGGACGAGAAGTGGAGACGCGGGAATTTTTCAAGGCGAATTGCCAGTGCGCTCAAGGATCCGATGAAGATGTTCTTCAGAAGAATTTGACCTTTGTCGCATTGGATTTATCAGATCAACTTGACATCATGGCCTGCGCCGCCCGCATTAAGGGGAAGTTTGATGATCGAATTGACCTGTTAGTAAACTGCGCCGGTGTCTGGCGGGAGGAGCCTACTATGACAAAGCAGGGGTTTGAGGAGCACATTGGTGTTAACTTTATTGGGCCGTTTCACCTGACAGAGGCCCTTCTGCCATCCCTGCGACGGTCAAGGCACGGCGGCCGCATTGTGTACGTGACGTGTTCTTCGCACAATGGGGTGCACAAGGCAAACATTGTAAAGGAGCGTATGCTGCTCAAACCCTCGCCAGACGAGGCCCAGGTCACGGCGCGTTGCTACAGCGCCTCCAAACTGGGCAACGTGTACCACGCGCAGTACATCGCCACACGGCGCTACGAGGGGGTGCCGCTCAATCAGCCCACTGAGCTGCGGCCAGTGGATGTGTGCATCGCAGACCCCGAGTTTTGCGCGACAAACCTCACCTGCCGTGATTCACCACCGCTGCTCGGAACGAACATCCTCGCCAGCACACTCCGTTCATTGTGGATACGCAACGCCTACGAAGGGAGCCAGACGGTAGTAAACTGTTGTGTGCGTGATGATATTGAAAATGGTGGATACTATGCAGAGTGCATGCAGATGCCAAGTGGACTTAGCCGCCGGGCTCACGACTCGAAGAGCCGAAACGAGGTGATGCAGTGGGCCATGACAAATACGATTGCAAAGTATTACACAATGCGGCCAACCGCGTCAAACCAACGCGTGGGTGCGGCCGCTGGTGGTGGCGCCACTCAAAAGAAGGATGGCAAAGACTGACAATAATTGGTTGTGAGACAAGATACATCGTATTGATGCATGTTATTGTTGTTGTTTTTTTGTTGCTGTTTGTTTGTGGATACTTCACTGGGGTGTGGTGTTTGTGATCCACCAACGCGGAGGTGGGTGGGTGATAGGGAAGAACAAAAAATAGAGAAAAAACATGCCTTTGTGGTCTTCTCTCCACTCATGCGATTTCGTTTTTTTTTTTTTTTTTTTTTTTTGGGTTTGTGTGTGTGTGTGCGTGGAGGGGAGCGGTGTTATCTGTGACCTCACACTTTCTTGGCGCTGTTGGGTTGTGCCTGTCTTTTCTTTGCAGTGAGCCTCCCCCGTGCGGCACACTCACGGCTGTGGCAACAACGAAAAAAAGCGGCGGGCGGCGGGTTGCGAGAGGGCTCGCAGAGGTTGTTAGGGAATTGATAAGAGGGTTGGTGAAGGAATGCCATCGTGCTCATTGGGTCTTTGCATTCGCCGTTGTGCCGGCGGGGTAGCCGCCACGGTTGCAGGTAGTCCGTTAGCGTCAAGCCACTGCTGGGGAAGCGTGCGTCACTACCAGCGGCACACAATGCGTCTCCTGCGACCGCGCAAACTTTCAGAGGCGAAGCAGCAGCCGCTTTTTCCCGGCATGTGCCGCCACGTCAAGCGTTTTGAGGGCGAACACATCTACAACTACGGGCTTCATACATATGCAATCCTCCGCGAGGGCTCTACATTTGCCGTTCTGCCACTCGGCTGCCTCGCAGCGTATGCCGCAACTTTTTTCGTCGCCGCACCGTTTTATCTGCAGATGATGTGTTCGTTGCTGCTAATTGCCTCCTCTCGCTACTTTGCGCGTGGCCGGAGAAACAAAGAGTGGAAAGACTTAAGCGGCCGACACGTCATCGTCACGGGCGGGACCAGTGGCATTGGGCGGGAGACGGCGTCTCAGCTGACTTCCATGGGCGCCGACGTGACAGTGCTCTCACGCGATGGCCCACATGTTGCTGCGGCCATGGCGTACATAAAGCGATTTGCCAAGAGTGAAACACAGGAAATACGCTTTACGGCTTTAGATCTGACCGACTTTATTGCGATACGTGACTACTGCAAGCGTGCCCAACAACAGAGGATGGTGGTGGACATCCTCGTAAACAATGCGGGGGTGATGCAGCAGCAGCAGGTGATGTCTCGTTTCGGCGACGACGAGCAACTAGCAGTGAATCTTCTCGGGCCGTTTTTGCTTACGGAGGGGCTTTTGCAGCTCGTGGCAGAGAACGGTGGCCGTGTTGTGTACGTCTCCTGCTCGGCCCACGTCGCGGTGAAGAGAAATATTGTGTCGACGTACTTATCCGGTCGCGGGTTGTGGTCGCCGCGCGTCCGAGACAAGTTTGACGGGCTCGAGCAGTACGGGTTTACAAAACTTGGCTGCATCTACCACGTGCAGGACTTGGCGGTGCGTTCCTACGCGAACGCTGCAAAACCGTCGGTCTCGACAGTACCCACTATGGTCACTGCTGCGACAACGGCCAACAGGAACAGCAACGGCGGAAGCAGCGGCCCACGTAAAGATGACGATAACGATGGCAGTGGGAATGCACCGAGGTACACAACCTGTGTTGCGGTTCCTGGGGGTGTCGTGACAAATCTTTACCGGCATGTTCCCCTCGCCACGACGTTTCGTTGGTGCCGCTACCTTTACCTGCTCTTCATGCGCACGGCACGTGAGGGAAGCCAGGTGGTGGTAAACTGCTGCGTGCGGGAGGAATTGGTGAATGGGGGATATTATCAGAATTGCCGGTACAGCCCTTCTGGACTTTCGGCTTGCGCATGTAACGTAGAGGAGCGCAAAAGTGTGCTGGCGTGGGTGAAGCGAAAAATGCAGCCGTACATGCGGTGGGAGCGTTAGCAGGAGAAATGGTGGTTAGTAAAATCCTAAGCTTTGTGCGGCTTTTGTCGGGATGGACTAGAGGGATGTGTTTTACGTGCGCGACTCCGTGCATTTACGCGCGTTTGCTTTTTATTTATTTCTGTGGCGGGGAGGGCAATAACTACCGAACGGGACCGGTGCATGTATTGCTTTTGCGAGGTGCATGAGGTGTGGGTGCTCTCTCCCCACATTACACACCCTTCTCCCTCATTGGTGGTTTGTTGGGTTGCTGCTTGTTGTTGTTGTTGTTTGGGTTTTTGTTTGCCTACCGGTCTCCTCGAGCAAACAAGGAACGAATACAAAAAAAAAAAAGATTTGTTAGAGAAAATAGCGGGCGGGTGGACGGAGGAAAGGAGAAATAACGAGCGCGCGAGGCGGATGTTGCGGCATTCTCGCATGCGCTCCAGCTTCACGCGCGGGCACGCACAGCGTGACGCCTAGGACGGCAGTGGCCGGAGGGCAAACGGGAAGACGGGGGGAAAAACAGAAGGGGGTATGGGACGTGCGCCCTCACCGTCCTGGCCGCCTTCCATGCTGCACCTCCTTCACATTTAACGGACCGAAGAACGCCGGTACGTGTGTGTGTGTGTGTGTGTGTGTGTGTGTGTGTGTGTGTGTGTAT